AAAAGTAAATTGGCTACTCATATCTTATATAAAAATGGATTCCAAATAGATGAAGGAGTAATACTTTCTTTTAATCCTTTATACACATTGAAGAAAAATATGGAAAACAGTTTTATAATATTGGGGTGGAAAACATCTTTCTAGATAAGATATAAAACCAAGGTACCATGTGCAATTTGTGGAAAATAAATCATATGTCAATTAAAAAATACGACTGAGAAAAAAGGAATACCATAAAGAAAAAAAATGGCAACTTTGTATAAATATCCTGAAAATGTAAAATGTCTATAAGGCAAAAAAAAAAAAAGTGTAAAGACAAGTAACAAATAGAAAGACAGCTGTGCAGCATGTGTAGCAGCTAACAAATTAATGATCAGAAAAAACACATAGATCAAGACAGGAACCTACTGAAAACCAGGTGAAGGTATGGGCAGGCCACGCACAGAAGAACATTTCTAAACAGTCAATAAACACATGTGGAGATGTACAACCTCACTACTAATTCAATACAGCACTTTAAGTGAAATTGTATTGTATTGAATATAATTGAAATCAAGACAATAATAAGTATTATTTCCCATCACTGAGATAAATAATGGAAAAGATTAATAATATCCATTGTTAATGAAGCTTCAGGGAAATAGATACTATCACGCAATGACGGTCAGAGTGTAAGCCTGTTACATCTTGCAGAGAGCATCCGGCACTGTGTATGGAAGATGTGCCTATGGAGAGCCTCAGACTGAGCAAGCCTCTCCCCAGCAGAAACACTGAAAACATAGAGTAGGATGCTCCCTGAAGCACTCTGGTGTTAATGAAATATTGGAAGTTCCCTACGTTTTTATCCCTGGGGAATGAGGCACGTAGTGTGGCGTTATCCGCTATGTGACCTCAGTTACAGGAAAGCACATACACTATCAGCATTAGGTGTGACGCTCACAGCATTGGGTGTGGAGCTGCTGAACTGTGCGTGTGTGTGTGTGTGCATGAAGGCCAGCAGGAGAGGGCCCGAAGGGGCCACACCGCATCGCTGACTACAATCGCCACCCGGCGTTAGAGTGCAAGGAGGGGAAGACAGACTCTAACATCTTGGTTTTGACATTGTTTGACTCTTTTGTAGGTATTTTTACGTCATCTCTCTGCCCCAGCAGCTTACTAAAAAACTCTGGTGTGACTACACTGTGTTGTGTGAGCAGCACTAAACACATATGCTACACAGGCCACGGGCGGACAAGGTCTCCACGGGCTGGCACATACCAAGAAGGCCTCGTAGGGGAGGAAGGAAGGGCGAGGAGCCTTAAATAAGATGTCTGACTGGCACAGGCCAAGGGAAAGCGGGGTGAGGTCTCCCCGAGAGAGAGGCACTGTCCACCAAGTCAACAGCAAGTCATTCACTCATCAGGCACTCATTCAGAGTCAGCTGTTCGCCAGCTACTGTTCCAGGCATTCCTAGTCACCACCACCATCATCCTCACCCCCAAAAGTGTATGTCATGAGGATAAGCCATGGGAAAAGGCATTGTCAATGCTGGTGGGGACATAGACTCATTATCTACTCTAGAGATCAGTTCAACGCTCTACATTGTATTAGTCTTTAAACAGTATTCCTCTGGCCCGGCAACCTTATTCCCGGGACTTTATTCTAAGGCAGGGACGCTAGTGAAGACTTACTGACAGGGAATTAGCACCCGTGAGTAACAGTAACGCAAGGCCACGCTGTGGTCCCCCCATGTTAGGAACATTGTTCCACGTGAGCAGGATGCTGTGGCAGCGCAGCTCACACAGGCAGACGTGCACGCTGCTAGTCACGTGAGGAAAGCCAGTCCCCAGGCGGTATTTACGGAATGAGAGGAATTAGGTTTTTAATTTTTATTTGCATAAAAATGTCTGAAAGGATTTACAATGAAATGTTCAGTTATGCCGGGTGGAGGTATTGCAAGTCATTTCCGGATTTTTCCCTGTTTTCTCTAATCACCTACATTATTTCTGCAAGAGAAAACAACCAGGATGTGGAAAGCAGGGTGAGCAATGAGGGGCAGCTCGCATCTGGCCTTGCTCTGTGCCAGGAACCAGCCGGCAGGTGCATTAGTGTGAGTCACCTGGGTGGTAGGGGAGCTGAGCAGAGACTGCGATCGTGCATTGGCCTGGCCGGGAGCTCACAGGGACCGAGCTCCGTGAGGGAATGGCAAGGACAGTCCATGGTCCAGGGCAGGAGCAGGGGGTGGGGGGAGGAGGAGAGGGCTTGGAAGGATCTCAGGAGAGCTGCCCCTGGGCCAGTGACACTTAGGAAGCGCGGGCTCCAGGGCCCAGGGCAAAGGCCCCAATCCAGCCCGCCTCTGAGCGTCTGGAACGTCTTTGCCCACAGAACTTTCCGTTGTTGTTGGTTTCGCTCTTGTTTTCCATGTAACGACCACTGAGGCACAGAGGCAGCAAAACTAGGCCCCTGGCAATGAGCAAGGTGTGGGCCTGGGGTAGGCACCCCAGGAGGCTGGGCCCAGCCCTGCGCCCGCCCGGACCCGCAGCCTGGCAGGCCTACACCCACAGCCCGCAGGCCTGTGCCCGCCTGGACCCGCAGCCTGGCAGGCCTACACTCACAGCCCGCAGCCCTGTGCCCGCCCGGACCCACAGCCCGCAGCCCTGTGCCCGCCCGGACCCGCAGCCTGGCAGGCCTACACCCACAGCCCGCAGCCCTGTGCCCGCCCGGACCCGCAGCCTGGCAGGCCTACACTCACAGCCCGCAGCCCTGTGCTCGCCTGGACCCGCAGCCTGGCAGGCCTACACCCACAGCCCGCAGGCCTGTGCCCGCCTGGACCCGCAGCCTGGCAGGCCTACACTCACAGCCCGCAGCCCTGTGCCCGCCCGGACCCACAGCCCGCAGCCCTGTGCCCGCCCGGACCCGCAGCCTGGCAGGCCTACACCCACAGCCCGCAGCCCTGTGCTCGCCTGGACCCACAGCCTGGCAGGCCTACACCCGCAGCCCGCAGCCCTGTGCTGCCTGGTCCCGCAGCCCTGTGCCCGCCTGGACCCGAAGCCCGCAGCCCTGTGCTGCCTGATCCCGCAGCCCTGTGCCCGCCTGGACCCGCAGCCTGGCAGGCCTACACCCGCAGCCCGCAGCCCTGGGCCGCCTGGTCCCGCAGCCCTGTGCCCGCCTGGTCCCGCAGCCCTGTGCCCGCCTGGTCCCGCAGCCCTGTGCCGCCTGGTCCCGCAGCCCTGTGCCCGCCTGGTCCCGCAGCCCGCTCTGGCCTAAGCAAGGAATGGCTTCCAGGCCCTCCCCTTGGGCTACCTCTCCCTGACCCCTAGCGGAGACCCCGACGAGGACCATTCTAGAAGGGCAGTCATTGCTTCCTAAGGTTTGTAACTTCCTCACCAAAAACCCGCCCAGAGGCTGAGGAGCTGCGAGGACCCTGGAGGAACCCAGAGCCATGGGAACAGGAAGCTCGAAGCAGAGCAGACAGGGTGAGGCCCAGCTGCTGGAGGGTTAGAACCACTTCGGGGGGGGGGGGGGGGGGCTGAGTCCCAGACAGAGGACAGGGACCAAGGGAAGAGGAAAAAGAGGAGAGGCAGGGAGTGCAGAGGGAGAGAGGGAGGGAGTCGAGGATGGGAGAGAAGAAGAGTGAGAAGAGAGAGGGCTTTGGAGAAGGGGAGGAGGACCAGGACGGGGGGGGGGGGGGAGAGGAAATAAAGGGGGAAGAGGAGGAGAGGGGGCAGCTTTTCAACTCCAGGGGATCACTATGAACCGCCTCAGGTTTGGAGCAAGTGCACACAGCTGTCCTGGGCAGGCCGCCTGCTGAGCAGGTTCAGTGAGTGAGGAGAGGGCCGCTCTGCGGAACGCGGGGGGCCTGGTGTCTGCTCCGACTGGCAGAGACTGATGCCGGCCCAGATCCTGTGACCCCAAACCACAGCACAGTCCTGCTTCCGAGCCAGCAGTCAGACCCGGTTCCCTCAGCCTCCGGTCGTCTGAGGCATGTTTCTGCTTTCCGTGCCAAAGTACATATTTATACCAAGATCATTTATTCTCCTGAATTAATTTGCTTACAAAGAAAAAGTGCTCAACATTTTAGAATTTAGATAATACATCATTCTGTGCCTAAGAACACTGCAATCAGCAAAGGGAAGGGCAGAGCCGGGCTGCTCCAAGCCTGTGCCGTAAACTGTTCCCTTACCTATCCCTGCTCCCGCACTACCCCCTCCACGCTGGGTTCATCCCCGGAAAAACTCGTCAGACATCGCTGATGCCGGGGACACACACGGTATTGCACGGATGCAATAAAATCCGATTCTCCTTCGTATGTGGGACGGCCCGCTTTATGGTGAGCAAACTCAAAGCAATCCAAGATGTCACTTCCGCACATAGCGGCAAGTCTGTTAAGATGGTGGCAGGTGTCTCACTGAGTAGAACATTTGTGATAAAACATGATAACCCTCCAACATGGCACTTGGTAGCTAAAACGTTCCGGAATGTGACCACACCTCCCACCTGTCTCCAGGAGGGGGGGCTACGCTGTCCTCTGCCCTGTGTCCCGTGTCGTCTGACCCCTGACTTTCTCAGGAGCCGCAGCCTGGGCCTTGGGGCAGGTGCTTCGGGAACAGGTCAGAGCCACCATTTCCCCACCCCGAGGCCCGGAGGCCAGAACTGACCGCAGGCCCTCCCCCTGCGTGCCTCCCCGCCCACCCGACCTCCTGCCCCTTGCCTGGTGCCCATGACCAAAGCAGCCACGCTGCCAGCCTGAGCGCAGGGGTCCCTCAGTCCCATCTTCCAAACGTGAAGGAGGCTTGGCTCTGAGGCCGGGCTGGGCAGCACGGGCCGAGCTCTGGCTCCTTCCTGTCCTGCTCCCTGTCTCCAGTACAGCTCAGCCAGCATCCTCAGAGAGATCGGCCTCACCGGGCCTGGCCCTGTGACGAGGCCTGAGGGCTGGCTGTGCCCAACAGAGCCGCTGGAGGTCCCGCCGGGCAGTGAGGACCGCACACCCGTCCGCGCCTCCCCGAGGGCGCACCGCTCACCTCTCAGCTCCGTCTCCGAGGAGCTGTTGGACAGGACGGTCCACCTGCTCCTCTGCTGGGTGATCTCCTGCACTTTGCAGACGTAATGCCCCTGATCGGCCGGCCGGAGGCTCAGAAGGGAGAGCGTGTAGTTGTGGAGCCGGCCCTGCCTCTGCTCCCGCAGGCGCAGCCGCTGCTGGAAGGAGCTGTTGTGGAACCTGCCGTAGAACTTCACCGCCCCGTGCTTGCTCCTCCTCACCATCAGGGTCACCTTGGCGCTGGGGCGCCCGAAGAACCAGCGCACGGCCAGCAGGCTGTTCGCCCACCTCTTCTGGGAGACACGGCAGACCAGGGTGGCGTTCTCGCCCTCCCGGTAGTCCGCCACGGGCCCCGGGGACACGGTCACGTTGAGGGCCCCACAGATGTCTGCAGAGAAACAGGAAGGAGGACGTGAGCACGGCCTGGCCTCCGCAGTGCACAGCGCCCTCCCCTCCCACCTCCCGCTCACTCGGCCTCAGGAGGCGGGGCCTCCTTTTGGGGGAGCTCTGTGGGAGCCCATGCATTTTCCATTTTATTTTCAATATTTCACATAAAATTTGGATTTTTAGAATTTCTTAAAAATTTCTAGCCCGCCTCCCCAAGGCCTGCCGGGACCAGTTCGCTGCCCGCCTGAGTGGACGACGCTGCAGCAGGGGGAAGTGGGGGGCTGCCCCTCCGGGCACCGTCCCTGTTCCAGCTGCTCCCGCTGTCCTCAGGCCGCCAGCAGCCCGCGGTGTTAGAACCTCACCCGCAGCTACAGCCCCGGCTTCTCTGTTCCCTGCCCTGAGCCCCTTGGACTCAGCTTGGAGCCAAAGTGTAGGAAAAAGACTGACCTAGGAAGAGGATGAGAGAAATTCCCAATCCCCCCGAAACACTCCTGACTCCAGGCCCTGCCTGCTACTGGGTGTCTTTGGTTCCTTCTTAGACCCCCAAGAGTGGCCATTCCGGATAACACAGGGCGACCCCCGGCTGCCCTGAGGCCACGGGCGGCGCCGCCTCTGCAGGCAGAAGCAGGAGGACACAGGAGGCCGCACCTTCACTGCCTGCAGGGCTTCTCCTCACAGGAGCCACTCTGCACGCACAGCCCAGCGCACAGCTCGGACGCCCCACTCCCTGCCCCCCACCGCAGAGCAGTGGGCATCCCACAGTCGCCTGCGGGCAGAGCCAGCAGGAGCTCTGGCCCTGTCAGTGCTGCAGATGGGCCCTGAGGAAGGAGGAGGAGATCTGAGACCTGACTCACACTGTGCAGGGGCTGTGAGCGGGGAGGAGGGGGGTATAACCAGCCAGTTAGTTCATCCTCTTGTGTGGTTTCTACTATAGACTTAGCAAACTGAACACCCGGAGCCATGACCTGAAGGTCGATATTCTTCGTTTTCTCTCTCCCCTCTTCGAAGCCAGGCCAGCAGACACTCCGAGTGCCTGTGCCAGGTAAGTAACGTGCACAGGCTCAGGGATCGGGACACACATCTCGGAGGCACCATGAGCCTGCCACACTGCGACAGTCTCTTCAAACTGATGGAAGCAAATTCAGAAGAAAGAGGTTGACGCTGGCTGGCCACTAAGTCGCTGTGGATGGCACTGAGGTCTCCTGTGTCTGCAGCGATGGACGCGGGCAGCCAGGGGGCTGCGGGCTCACATAAGCATCCAGGGAGGCAGGCCCCTGGGACGACCTCTGACAATCTCTGTCCACACGGTTAGTCACCGTGCAGGACGGGGTACTGCCCCACTGCCTCCTCTGCAGCCCACCCCGGCCTGCCCCTGCCCGTAGGCCCATCTGAGCTGGCCCAGGCACAGCTCCTGCCGCAGAGGCCCTGTCTGAGGGGCGTATGGTGGGTGTTCCCAGGGAGCACAGCACGGCCAGACCACATGGCTGACCACTCCATTGGGTCGGGGTCTCCCAGGCAAAGCCAAGGGCTAACCCATTCCATGGGGACAGGGTCTCCCAGGCAGAGAGCAGGGGGCTGACCCACTCAATGTGGACAGGGTCTCCCAGGCAGAGAGCCAGGGGGCTGACCTGCTCCATGGGGACAGGGTCTCCCGGGCAGGGAGCAGGGGGCTGACCCGCTCCATGGGGACAGGGTCTCCCAGGCAGAGAGCAGGGGGCTGACCTGCTGCAGGAGGACAGGGTCTCCCAGGCAGAGAGCAGGGGCCTGACCTGCTCCATGGGGACAGGGTCTCCCGGGCAGGGAGCAGGGGCCTGACCTGCTCCATGGGGACAGGGTCTCCCAGGCAGGGAGCAGGGGGATGACCCGCTCCATGGGGACAGGGTCTCCCGGGCTGGGAGCAGCAGGGGTGCAGCAGCTGGCTTCCAGAACTGAGTGCAGGCTCCCCACCCCCAGGCTGGCTCCACCGGAGGCAGGGAGAGCGGGAAGGCAGGAAATTGAAACAATATGGGTGGGATGAGAGCAAGGCTGGGCCCCCACACCCCAGCCTCCTCCTATTAACACTGCATGAAGGAGGGAGTATTTATAGTGACCAAACTGGGAGAGGGTGCCAAGTGCTCTTCCCCACTGGAGGCCAGATTCCATGCTGGAGGCAAACTAGTAACCCTTCCCCTCCCATGGCCCAGGCCAGGGGCCAGCTCCTACAGGAGGCAACAGACACCCTCTTCCCAGCACGAGCCTCCTGTCCCCTCCCCAGTGCCTTGGCCTTCCTTCACCCCCGTTCCCTCACACAGGCTCCCCACGGCCCGCCCACTGAAGTGCAAAGATCCCTCTTCGGAGCTGAATGGGTCCCCCCAGATTCACATCCTGAGTCCCAGCTCCCAGGGCCTCAAGGGTGGCTGTCTGTGGAGACAGGGCCTTCAAAGGGGGGACTGAGAGGAGGCCGTTAGCATGGACTCTAACCCCAGTGACCAGTGTCCTCACAGGAAGAGGCTGTCAGGACAGAGGACGCGGAGGGCAGACCACGCGGGGAGAATGCGCCATGCACAGCCAGGGCAGGGCCTCGGAACAGGCCAGCTCTGCAGCACCTCGCCCGCGGCGTCCAGGCTCCAGGCCTGCAGATCCACAGGCAGCCGGTCATCAGGAAAAAGTCACAGGAGAAAACAAGATGGGCTCCCACAAAGCAGGGCAGGATCCTGACCTAGGTCACAGGGCAGGGAGGGGACCCGGGGGGGGGGGGGTGGTGTTCGTGGCTGAAGGATGAGTTGCATTAAATGACATAAAATCCAGGGCAGCAGAAGAAATGGCCTTCCCGCGAGAGGGCCTGCCTGTGCAAAGGCCCTGAGGCAGGAGGCTGGCACAGGGGACACGGAGTCATCAGCCACTCGGGCTGCAGAGTGGTTTCGGGAAGGGACTTCCCAGGCGCCCAGGGCTCCCGGCCAGCTCTTAGAGGAGGAAGGGGGCAGTGTGGCAGGAGAGACTGGCCCAGGACAAGGGCAGGACGCTGCTGCGGGAGCCTCCTTCCTTCGACAAGCTCAGGCTCCGTTACTTGGGAGCCTGGGCGCCCCCTGTGAGTGGGCATCGGGCTGCTCATGGACCCCAAGCCTCCATAGTGTCTTGTGGGGCTGGGCAATGCGCCAGGGGTTGGCATTCAACAAAGCCAAGTTGGAGACCTGGTTCTATTGGGAGTTAAGGCCCTCAGACCCTCAGTCTCTTCATCTGAAAAACGGGAAGGTAATTCCAATGGGAAAATAACTTTAAAACGCCCACAGCAGTTTCTGTGCCTGGAGCAGTGAGCAGGTGGGACAATAAGAGTGACAGGCACACTGAGAGGGGAGGCTTCTGGGGTGCCCTGCAGTCACAGGCCCTCTGCTGGGGGGGCCCGCTTGGTTTACTCTCTCCTGGCCCTCTGGAAGGCTTAACAACTTTTGAGTAAGGCCCCACATTTCCATTTTGCACTGGACCCCACAAATTAGATCTCTGGTTCTGACTGTCAGCAAGGTATCTAGTTCCTGTGGGTAACACGGCGGGGGGCTAAGCCCCTTGTTCCCACTGGATAATGTTTTCTAACCGCTCAGAAGACAGCCTGAGGACATCAGTGTGGTCACACAGTCCCCAACCTGTGCAGCCAGCACACACCTCTCCTGGGAGGCAGGGTGGGCACAGCCTGAGTCCTCTCCCCGGCCTGGCCAGGGTGTGCTGGTGGCTGTGTGTGTGTGTGTGTGTGTGTGTGTGTCCCCCGCAGCTTCTTTTCTGTCCTGAGGAGCCTGCCCCACTCGTTTCCGGGAGCAGGAGCCCCTATGTCTCTAAGGAATGCAGATGGTGTGTACCTCTCGGCGGCCAAATCTCATTCTTACCGAACAGTTAGTCTGTGTTCATAACAAACAAATCTCTACAGATGCAACTGTATCCCTTAAAAGCCCCGGCACCAGGAGCCAGCGCCCGCCAGCCCAGCACCAGACACCCCGGCAGCCAGGCCAAGCACCCGCGTGGCCAGGAGGCAGGCTAACATTTGCTCGTGTGAAGCCCGTGCCCAGCACTGTTCTAAGCACGTTAGATGTATTTTCCAATCTATCCTCATCCTACGCTTATCCCCCGGTTACAGACAGGAGGGCTGAGGCCCAGAGGGGCTACGCCGCTTGCTGAAGCTCACACAGGAGGTGGCAGAGCTGGAACTCCGACCAGACGGCTCCAGAGCCAGCTCCCAGCCACCCCTGTCCTACAGCAAGGTATCTCCTAAATATGCCCCTTGGTTAGTTTTGTGTAAAACCGCTAAAGTCCTGCTCTGTCCCAAAATACGGAGACATTCCAGGGTAAAGTACGTGTAAAGTGGCTCCTCGGGCTTGGTGACAAGGGGTCCTGAGTGAGACACGGGGAAGAGCAGCAGCACAGGATGAAGGCAGCACAGGACGAAGGCCGCACAAGCAGGCGCTGTCGCCATGGCCTGAGGGATGGCCTTCACTCAGCCGGCGGGCTCTAAAGAACCCTGAGTCCAGCGAGGCCTCTGGAGCATGAGATGTCACCCACCTCAAGGGGCCTTTCTCTGGGGCCTCTGTCTGGCAGCACCTGAGGTTAGGAAGGTGGTCGTGGGGCCCTGGGGACAGACAGCCTTGTGCCCTCTTGCCTCCCGCTGGCTGCTGGGCACTCCAGAGGCCACCTGAGCTGGCCCAGCCGCACCACCCAGGAAAGCTGCAGCCTCTGTCAGCCAAGACAGTGACAGCCCTGAAGGAGCATCTCCTGCAACGTGGGTTTCGGGTTCAGTGGGAGCCCCATGGCTCTGGTAGCCTGAGTGCAAAGGTGAGTTTCTTCCCACCACCATGACCCCAGAAGCTCCCAGATTCTGATGGGTGCTCCCCACTTGGTAGCTGGGTCTCCCTTGGAAAATCCTTAACTCTGAGCATCAGCCTTCTTATTTACAAAACTAGTGGCCCGGTGCACAAATTTGTGCACATGGAAAGGAAATTAATTAGAAGAAATATTTTAATACTCACCCTTTCTCTATAACAAAAGTGTCAACCAAATTCACGATTGACAATGACAGATCGAAACACACGTGTTTGGTGCCAGTGAGAGCTTTATATGTATTACGCATACACAAGTCAACCCAGCCTTTTATAGATATAGAATAAACTTGCTTAGTTAGACCTGCTTTCTGATGTAGCTAAACTTTTTTCAGACCAGTGAAGCACTCCAATTTCTTTTTCAGGTAATTGTAAGCAACATAACAGTAAATATCAACATGAAGCAGATCATGTTGTAGATCATGCAGGGAGAACAAAGGGTAAAATATTTAACTGCAGCAGTGTTTACTATATTCTATGAAGTGAGAAAACCTGAAGTCATTTTCAAGGTTCACCATTTCTTACTTCTTTTCAGTCAGGTCAACTTTCTAAGCTTTCTAAATCCCCATTTTCTGGCTAATGAGAAGAAAATAGAATTCTAACGAGTCTCCTGTCTACCTACTCCAGGACTTCTGTGAGGATCAAATGAGTTGATATCCAGGAAAACACTTCACAGACATTTGGTTAAAGTGTAAAATGTTTTCACTTGGCTATAAAGCAAGCCATGTTCCTGGGCTGAAGAAACTCCAAGGAGGCTAGTCACTAGGGAGAGGAAGCCAGGTGTTGCTATGTGACGTCATTACCAAGGTGCCATTTCTGGGCTGGGCTGGGCTGTGGGCCACATTTTGTGCCATGGGGTCTCAGCAGCGTCAGCTGTGATTTGATGGACTGTCACTCCGGGGTGGTGGCGGGGCCTGTGTTCCACTTGGGGGAAGCCGAGTGTTGCTTTGTTTTGCCAGGTCTGCAGTGCCGTTTCTCTGTAAAAATGGCCAGTGCCCGTCACGGCAGCTGGGGGTCAGTGCGTGTCATAGTGACCAGTCGGATGGTCGGACACTTAGCATATTAGCCTTTTATATATATAGATAGTGGCCACTCAGCTTAGCCAGTATGAGCAGGGTCTAGAGCCAGGCTTCCTAGGAGCAAACCCCAGCCCACCACTCACAAGCCTGTGGCTTAAGTCAAGTCAATGCTGGGCCTGTGCCTCAGTTTCCTCTCCTGCAGATTGGGAACAGTAACAGCACCTCCCTAAGAGCTTATTGGCAAGTGAGACCGGGTAATGTCTGTGCGTGGGATGTAAGCATGCTCCTGTCCCTGTTACTGTGAAGTGCTGTGAGACTGAGGGCTGTGCAGCCACACTTGGCACCGGATAGGCCCCAGGAGGCCTGACTGGCAGGCGGTACCCGTACTGCTGTTACCACTGTCCTAGGCAGCACAGCCCTTCCAGCCCAGGCAGGCAGGGCCCTGAGGAGCGGAGAAACTTCCTCAGCAACTTCGAAGAGGGGGCAGAAACCGCAGAACGCACGCCAGCAGTGTGGGCAGAGGCTGCCCCTGGGCAGGGTGCCTGGTACATGGGCCCCTTCAGCCAGCAGGGGCACCTTCCCCCCAGGCCTGGTCATCGCAAACCACCCGGGACAAGTCCCAGCCCCATTCCCAGCAGGACACAGCTCCTCCGGCCTGGGGCCGCTCGGAAGAGCGTTCAGAAGTTCTGCCCAGTCTGACCCACAAAAGTTGTGAGTCCTGAGTTTTTGGGGAGAAAGAAAACAAACCAACCAGGGCTCTCGCCTCCTGGCTGAACTCTCCCCGCCCCCCAGATCTAGTCCCTTGGGGCTGCTCCGAGCCTCCCAGCGAGCTGGGGTCCGGCCTGCAGGGAGGGGTGGGGCGCCCCGGGCAAGGCAGCGAATGGCTCGGGACAGCGCAGTCCGCCGCCAGCGCCCTGGACAGGGAGGCCGGAGGCGCAGCGCCTCCTCCCAGGCCCGAGCCGAGCCCGGAGCCCCGCCGTCCCAACGCGGGTCCCAACCGCCCGCCGCCCCGCGCTTACCCGGGGCCGGAGCCCGCGCCAGCAAGGCGGCCGCCGCCAGCGCCAGCAGCCGCATCGCCCCGCTGCCGCCGCCACCGCCGCCGCGCAGTGCCGCCGGCCGCCTCCCGCCTCCCTCCTCCCCGCCCCGCGCCGCCCCCGGCCCCCAGGCCCGGCCCGCCCCCAGGCCCGCCCGGCTCGGCCCCGCCCAAGGGCGCCGCCCACTTGGCGGCTCTGGGTGTCTGGGCCCCCTGCGCACTGAGGATCTTTAGCTCATGGCCAGTGCATGTCTCATTTTTGCTACCCCATTTCACAGATGAGAAAACTGAGGCTCTGAGAGCTGATGCTGGACACAGGAAGTTCGTAGCTGTATGCTAGCATCACAGACACCTTTATGGCTAAGGGAGGGCGTCTTGGAGCCTGGATGGGAGGGGTAAGATGGGAGGGGGGAGTGCCAAATGTGTGAGGCTAGCCAGCTGCTCAGTGGACCGGCCATCGCTCCAGAGGCATCTGCACGCCAAGGGGCTGCTGAGGGAGAAGCCCTCTTCTGCTGTCCTGAACGGGGTGTGGGTGTCAGGGGTGGGGACAGTTGCAAAATGAGAGGTCCATACGGACAAGCTCAGAGGTGGACACTATCAGAAATAATAGCCACTTAGGGTGCCTTCAGCCACAGCCTGGGCCAGATACTGGCACCGTGCCACTGAATGCTGACACTGAGACCTGGCACAGCTCTTCAATCTCCATGTGCCTCAGTTTCCCCCATCTGTACCTGGGGAAATGGACATGTTTCTCACAGGTTGTTAAGTTCCAGTGAAGGCCGTCAATGTCAGCCACCTTAGCATCATTGCCACAGACAGGGAGCGGAGGCAGGAGGTGAGGAGCTGACCACACAGCCAGGTCCCTCTGAGCCCACACCTGGCTCTTTCCCACAGCTCTGAGCTCGGGGTCTGAGCCCAGCCCATGTGTCAGCCCGGATCCCAGGAACAAGAACAGCGCGCACCAGGTTTGCTTCCTGTGAGTCTACAGGGGCGTCTTCGAGGGGTCCCAGAAAAGGTGGGCCCTGCTTGGGACCGTCCTTGCCCTGCTTTTTCTCTGCCGCACTCGTGCTGTGCTGGAGAGTTGATGCTGGAAGGTGTTCTCTGTGTTCTGTTTGCAGCTGGGTTTCCCCTCAGGACACTTCAGCTTCCCAGACCGTCCACCCGATCATGACCCAGGAGCAGAGACACGCAGGCCCCGGGCAGACCGGCAGGGACACAGAGGCAACCCAGTTCTCAGTCCCTGGACTATAATAGCAGAAGCTTTTGCTCTGCTCTCACTCACAAGCTTAGGGCAATGGGAAAGCCTGCACTCACTTCATGTCCAGCTCTGGCTCTGTCAGGTCTGCCTCCTTCTGAATCAGAGCAATCCAATCCAATTGCACACATGTAAGTGCTTCTTTTAACGCGCCCCCTGCTGGAGGAGCAGCAGACTCCTGCAGCTGATCCCGGCCCCTGTGGACACTCTCCTCACTCAGTCGGGATTCCTCACGGAGGACAAGCCCGTCCAACCTGGACAGCCGGGAGCCACAGGTGGCCGGCGGAGCTGTCCTGAAACCTGGACAGCCTTGGTGCACACCCGGGGGAGGGAGTGGAGCCCCTGGCTTTTCCCTTAAAGGCCCGGAACTGTGACGCCGTGAGCTTGACCATATGTTTACGTGGAAAGGGCTTCTCCAAATCAACCTCACGAGAGACTAATAAATTGGGGTCATTCCAAGAAATTAGCAGTGATTGTGGGCTCTGCTGGCTGGCTGAACACAGAGGAAGATGGCCTCCGGAGTCTGGGCGTCTCCAGATAGAAGGGGATTGAAATGAGGGAGGTTATCTACATCACTGACCACAGCGCAGGCCAGCCCACTTCCTCTCCTGGTGCTGGAAGCTTTACAGTGAAGATGGACCTGGAACAAAACTGAGCAGGAACAAAAAACGCCAGGATCAGCCACTATGACCAATGGCCCTGCCCTGGAGTCAACCCATCAATGGAAACCAGGACCCATAAAGGCACACCTGGAAGAGCTGATGAATATTCTAGTGCAATCCTCCTGAAGACCTCCTTTATGCTCCCAGCCTTTAAACCCTCAACACAAAGCCCAGCACACTCTTTCCCTCCTGGGAGGATGCTTGTGCCTTCCGTTCCCCTCTCTTCTCCCACATGAGTGCATCTCCTAACCTCAGGGTCCCACAAGGCTTGTAACCAGGCGAGCAATGGCAGCTCATCCTGGGCTTGCCCCCTGAGCCCGTCCCCAAGGCCCCCTTTGCCCTGACTCTCCAGGGAGCAGACAGCAGCCCCGCCCGCATGGCTCACTTCTTTCTCATAAAGTTTCTAGAGAGCCAAAGCAGTCTCCTTCCTGTTGCTTCTTCTACCCCAGTCCTTCCTGTTTCCCTCTCCCAGCTTTAACGGGCGAACTCTCAGTGACCTGGACTTGCGTTGTGGAATCTTTCCTGCACAAAGTCAGCACCCCACACACTGCAGACTTATCCAAGGCGCACCTGCTCCGGGCCTGGGCCCCTCCAGTAAATACAGGGGTGAAGGGACAAATGGGAACGAAGTCCTAGAGGCCCTCCGATGTGGGCAGGAGTGTGCACTGAACCCAGTGATGTGGGGGCCCTGACAAGGGGGCGGGGTCAGGAAGTGCAGTGAGAGGCCTGGCTGGGTGCTCAGTGGTTAGAGCGTTGTCCTGATACGCTAGGGTTAGCTTGCCAATGAGGACACGTATAAGAATAACCAATAACTTTATAAATCAGTGGAACAACAAATTGATATTTCTCTCCCTCTCTCTCTCTCTCTCTTTCTCTCTCTCTCTCTCTCTCTCTCTCTCTCTCTCTCTCTCTTCCTCTAAAATCAACTTTTTTAAAGAGTGTGTGGGAGTTCAGAGCCAGCCACGTAAGACGTACCTCAGTGCATGAGGATTTGAGCTAATGGCAGCCTTAGCTGCAGGCTCAGGAGAAATCACTTCCCCGACTACCTGGAAAACGTGACTCAGGAGCCTTGCCCAAGGTGGAGGCTATCAGAAACGATCTCTTTGACCTGTTTGTAGAGCAGGAAATTTCCTAGTTACTAAGCATCTTCTTATTGCTCTGCAGTGACTCCTTGAAGCCCTGAAGGCTCGTATCTCACTCCCTGCTCCAGCCAGGGACTGGGAGGGAGAGTGGCCACAGGAGTCTAATCTGCCCAAGGCTGCTGACAGAGGAGCTAAGAGAAATGTTGAACTTTACAGTCTGCGAAGGGAGAGCCAGAGACACACCTGGCTCCTCCCCTCAGGCCCGTGGAGAAGCACAGCGGCCACGGCCCAGGCCATGGCCGCCCAGGCCAGTGCCCACGATGGGAGAAGGGTGAGTGCTGAGCCTAGAAAGCCCATTCCGTCTCCGTGCCCAGCTCCTGGAGGGCTGTCAGTAAATTTCCCAGGGTGCCTCAGTGAAGTGTCAAATGGAGAAAGAATGGAAGATGTATGGATTTGCTGGGTATTTAGGAACAGAATGTTTCTCTTCGTTCTGGAGGCTGGACGTCTGAGATGAAGGGGTTGGGTCCACAGGGCTTCTTCTGGGCCTCGTTCCCTGGCTAACGGGTGGTTGTCTTCTCTCTGGTCCTCACATGGTCTTCCCTGTGTGGGGGCCTGTGTCCTGACTTCCTGTGAGCACACTGGTCATGTTTAATGAGGACCGCCTCCCCCGCAATGAACTCATTTCAACTCTATTGCCTCCTTAAAGTCCCCCCTCCCCCCAATAGTCACTTTCTGAGGTTCTGGGTCTAGGACTTCAACATATGGACTGGGGGGGGGGGCGGGGGGAAAATTCTGTCTATGACAGGGGGAAGGGGGGAGGAAGAGGAGGACAGAGGAAGCAGGCATTGAGAGTTCAGGTGAAGGGGCTAACAAATGGAGATGTGGATGCAGAGCCAGGAGAGTCCCCAAGGCCACCCATCAGAGAAAGGGGCCAGGAAAGGGCCAAGATGGCTGACTAGGCGGAAGTTGCAATCACCATCCCCATGACCACAGCAAAGTCACCACTGAATTATAGACAGTCGAACTGGACGGCCAGATGAAGACTAGCTAACAGGAGTCATCGGAAGAAGCCAGGTGGGGCCTTGAGGAGGGAGGAGATGTGAGTGCTGCCCCACATGTGGCAGCTGGGAACCCAAGGGACATCTCAGCTGCAGAGATGTGCCAGGGCCGGAGGGTTCTCAGCCCCCGGCTGGGCTCCCTAGCCCAGAACCAGAGCCAGGAAGGGGGGTCCACATAACATCTGACTGGAAATCACTAGGGATCCCATCCTCCAGGGTGAGGTGGAAGGCTGCTGGAAACCCAGGTATCCTCTTAAAGGGCCGGTGCACCAATCCCCACTCATAGGTACTCATCTGGGCCACAGTGGAGGGATGGAAGCTCAGAGGATGCCTGAGTTCACAGGGAGAGACTGGGATGTGTGGCTTTAGGGAAAGGGCTGGCTGGAGAGATTGCTGCCAATGCCCATGTGTTGAGTCCTCCTACAACATGGCCCCCGAGCACCATCCCCTCCTCATGTGGCATTAGCCTGGTGAGCAACACTAGCTCCATCCACAAGGCACACAAGGCTGGGACTCTGTCAGCAGCAGTCAGCCTGGGCCCATATTCCAGTCGAGAAATTAGGGGCGAGTGGGGAGGAAGTGTACCAGAAACACACACACACAAACTGAGTTGTATGTCTTCAAGGTGAGCATCACCTTCCTGCATGGCCCACCTTTACTGTGGTAAGCCCTCCTCTACACTATGAAATCTTAATCTTTTTTTATTTCGGAGAACTCTACTAGCTTCACCCCAGTGACTCCCTGAGACCCCACCCACTGCAGAGGTCTCAGATGGGTGGCAGCTGGCCTCCATGTGCTCTGAGAACTTAGCTGAATAGCCTCAGACCTAGCATGAGATTGAGACTGTCAATCTGGTGAACTCCACTCACCCCTACCCACCTCACACAACTGGAATACCACCCGGGCTCTTACACTGGCAGAGCCCAATAGACAGGTCTGAGGTGCCTTGGGCCTTTTGCTGACCTGCCCCAGGTCAAGTACTGTGGCAGCCAGACCTGGTTCAC